CTCTGCAGGAAGCCTGCTTCTCCATCTCTCACCCCCCCTGTTTGTGTCTCTCGCTGTCTCTTTCTCTGTCAAATAAATAAAATCTTAAAAAAGAGAGAGAGAGAAGGATCTATAAATAGGTTTATTCTTTACATACTTTTCTACTTCTTGTATTTTTTCCCACTAATTAATATGTTAATTAGTATGTCCTCATAATTAATATGTTATATATTACACATATATAACATAAATCTACCTCATTAAATCTACCTCATCAATAAATCTACCTCATTCTAACAGATAAATTATATTTTATTGGATAGATCAGATTTCATTTAACCAGATTTCACTTACACGGATCTTTAGGTGGTTTCCAGATTTTGGGGGTTTCACTCTTTACAACAAATGATGCAACAAAAGTCATCCTATGTCCAACTTTACGCGCTGATTTTGAATATATCTATAGTGTGAGCTATTAGGAGCAGAGCCGCTGAGGGGCGCCTGGGTGGCTCAGTGGGTTGAAGGCTCTGCCTTCAGCTCCGGTCATGATCTCAGGGTCCTGGGATTGAGCCCCGCTTCGTGCTCTCTGCTCAGCAGGAAGCCTGCTTCCTCCTCTCTCTCTCTGCCTGCCTCTCTGCCTACTTGTGATCTCTGTCTGTCAAATAAATAAATAAAATCTTTTAAAAAAAGAAGCAGAGCCTCTGGGTACATGCATTTAAAATCGTGACAGGTATTGCAAAGTGCCCTCCAAAGAAGTTGCCCTAATTTAGACTCCCACCAGCAGTGAATGTTCTTGCCGCATCAGTATTGTCAAACTTTATATTCTTCGCCAATCTAATGGGCGTGACATGGAATTCTGTTGTTTTATTCTGCATTGTTTGACTATAGGTGATGTTCAACAGTTTTCACATGTTGTAGTTATTTCCCTTTTGTATTGGTCAGCCCGGGCTGCTATGACAAAATACCACTGACCAGGGGCATAAACACCAGGCATTTATTTATCACGGTCCCGGAGGCTGAGAAATCCAGGGTCAAGATTTGCTTGCCCACAAATTCTCTCTTTCAGGCTCGCAGACACTGGCTTCTCAGTATGTCTTCACGTGGTGGAGAGAGAGGGGGATTCCCAATCTTTCTTCCTCTTCTCCTAAGGACATGAATTCTAACGTGGGGTCCTACACACATGACATCATCTAAAGCCAAGGAACCCCCGAGGCCCTCCCATCCAAATACCATCACCGTGGGGGGCAAAGCGTCACCGTTTGAATTTTGAGAGGGACTCAAACATTCGGTCCCTGACGACCATAAACAACCTGTTCATGACATTTGTCCCTACTTCCATCTGATTGTTCATGTTTTTCTGACCAATTGGTTGGAAAAATTGGTAAGTGAGGAAAAACAGCCGTTGAGGGTGCATTTTAGAAATGCCTCACGTTTTCTGCTTCAGTTAAAAAAAAAAAAGATTTTATTTATTTATTTATTATTATTTATTTATTAGTTATATTTATTTATTTATTATATATAATAGTACATATTATATATATTTATTTATTTGGAACAAAAAGAGAGCACAAGCAGGGGGAGAGGCAGGCAGAGGGAGAGGGAGAAGCAGGCTCCCTGCTGAGCAGGGAGCCCGAAAGGGGGCCTGATCTCAGGACTCCGGGGTCATGACCCTAGCTGAAGGCAGACATCCAACCTACTGAGCCACCCAGGCATCCCTTTCTGCTTTAGTCTTAAAATGACATGTGTATACTGGGGAAGAAGCAATGTGCTGGCAGGTTATAAGGCTTTAAGATTCTATTCTTGATTTGGCTTTGTCCAATCGTGATTTAGTCCTTGTTTTGTTTTGTTTTGTTTTTAAAATTATTTTTATTAACATATAATGCATTATTTGCCCCAGGGGTACAGGTCTGCGAATCGTCAGGCTTACACATTTCACAGCGATCACCATAGCACATACCCTCCCCAGTGTCCATAACCCAGCCACCCTCTCCCTGCCTCCCACCTCCCAGCAACCCTAAGTTTGTTTTGTGAGATTAAGAGTCTCTTATGGTTTGTTCCTTGGTTTTGATTCTTGTCACAGATAGCTCTTGTTAATTAGTCATGATTTGGGGAATATTGTATCTTAGTACACTTGAAAGTCTTCCCGCTATGCTTCCCAGAAAACTCCTTGACTGTCAGAAAACAAGGAGGGTGGTGGTCATCAGGAGGGCTGGGGAGGAGCCGGCTGAGGTGGGGCTCGGATGCAGCTAGGAGGCCCACATCCAGAGCACCCCCCTTTATTTTTTCTTTGTTTTTTCTTCATTTCTTTCTCTTTGTTTACCTTTCCCCTCCCTTCCTTCCTCCCATTGCCCCCCTCCCCAGTCTCTTTTTTCTTTGTTTCTGGCTGCATACTATGAAAATACAATTTTGGAGTATGTGGTTGGATTCCTACCATGGGGACTGAGATGGAATTTCAAGTCACTCACCATAATTCAACTATAAATTAACGAATTCTTATGAATAGAATAGGATGGAATGTGGTTTCGTGTTTTCTTCCCCCAGGGACCCTGCCCAATTTGGCAACGGGAAGCTAAATTAAGGGTGGGATTAGTTCTAGGAAGTGGAGTTCCAGTGGAACTACATGCCTCATGCAAAAGTTAGCGACAGTGCCTTCCTTCTTTGTGTTCACAAGGAATCAGGAGGTCCTGGATACCCGGAATCCCCGGATGTGCCTGGCTTTGTTTGTTTATCCCAGTTACCCTTCTAGAACTATCAAAGGGGATGTATTTCGACTCCTTTTACCCTTCGATTTTCCACCAAAAGTGGGCAGGGAGGCAACATGCTTCAGGGGAAAAAAAAAGGAACCCGGAAATAGGAACAGGCAGGCTTCAGTGTCAGCCCTGCCTGTGCCCGTAAGGCAAGTGGGCAAGTGTGCACCTGGGCAAGTCACGCAGCCTCTGCAGGCCCCAGTTCTTTCCTGCAGAAGGGACAAAATGACACCAACCTCTCAGGGTGGCCGAGCACCCTGTAAAATGTACCCTGGAGCTAATAGTGTCTACGCCAGAGACCTGGTCCCTCCGTGAGGCATTTGCACAATGCCAGACTCGGAAAAGGGACTCAGCAAATGCCTGTCCACTTTTCATCCTTGTACTAAACACTGCATTAGTGTCCTTGGGCTGTTGTAACAAGTTACCACAAACTCGATGGCTTAAAAAAACAGAAATTTCTCCCTGACCGTTCTGGAGGCCAGGAGTTCAATGTCAATGTGTTGCTAGGGCCATACTCCTTCCAGTTACTAGGGGGACATCCCTAATAACTTCTTCCAGTTTGTGTTGGCTCCCTATGTTGCTGCTCATGGCTATTATCTCTCCAGTCGGCCTCGGTGGTCACAGGGCCTTCTCCTCTCTGTCTCTTCTCCTCTCTGTCTCTTCTCATTTTCTCTTCTCATTTCCATGTGATGTGAAGGAGCTCTGCCTTCTTGGATTTGTTCCACACAAAGGAGAGGACCATCCCTGGACCTTCTTACAGCTCAGTGGTACTGTGGGGACAGAGGATTCGACCATGAAAAGTCTTTGAGCTTTAAGCTTTGGGCCAAAAAATCTGTCAAAAACAAAGATCTTAGGGATGCCTGGGTGGCTCAGTGGGTTAAGCCACTGCCTTGGGCTCAGGTCGTGATCCCAGGGTCCTGGGATTGAGTCCCACATCGGGCTTCTTGCTTTCCAAGGAAAGTCATAGTGTTGGTCAGTGCCACACAGGTAAGAAGGACATTCTAGGCGAAGGATCCAGAAACTCAAGGGCAGCTCTCTGCTGGGGGAGAGCAGGGCGTGCTGGAGCTGTGGGAATGGGAGTTGGGTACACTTAACTGCAAACCCGGCTACGCCAACATGGGGTGGGTCACTCGTCTCTGAGCTTCAGGTGGCAAACCTCTCCTCTGAGAGGTGAGAATGGTAGACAGCAGGGCCACGGTGAAGCCTGGAGATGACACGCATTCCCTGGGACTGAGTACACACCTGACTGTCACAGCTGTTACCTGAGTCCTCCTCTGAGGCCTTAATCCGTCTCCCCTCTCCACCCCTTCAAGCCCAGGGAAGCCAGTCCCCCCGAAGGCTTCCCAATCTTGTGCTAGCTGCACAACACATTTCTGCTGGGTCCAGGCCATTAATGTGGATCTAGGGTGCTTTCCTCCTGGTCCTCAGCGCTCAGCTTCGTGTGGGGATGTAGCTGGTCCTCAGAGCGTGTCTGCGGGAGCACCGTGTCCCCACACTGAACGCCCTGTCTGGCACAGTTGTTCCCTGTGAAATGACCGGTTAAGTGAATAAGAGTGTAGAATCACCCTCTAGGTTAGAACTTTAAAACTTTCTGACATTTCTCAGGTCTTCTGATTGACCATGGAAGCTGGAAAATCATCACTGTGGTTACTGACAAATGTTTCGTGCCAGGCTCCCTGCTCTGCGCATGCATGACCTGACTTACATTTATTGTGTCCCCGTGAGGTAGGGACCATCCTTTAGAACACAGTACGGCTCCGAGAGATTCAGAAACTTCCCAGTCACAGGGCTAGAAGTGGTGGCAGGGAGGTGACGCGAGGGCAGGGCCTCTAAATGGCAGTGTCCCATCCTCCTGCCTGCATGGAGACTGGGCCCCGGGGCCTCCCCAGCAGCTTAAGGGAAGTACAGTACGTCTGGCCTGCACTCTGAAGACCTAAGTGGGAGGTTAAGGGGGAGTCCTGAAGGGTAAGCCTCAGGAGGAGCTGAGGGCACCACACTGAGCTCTCCAAGGCCACGACAGAGGAAGCAAGGACCGAATTAGGACGTTTGTGAGCCTTGGGCGCTTTGATCTTTGTGCCGCCCTTCCCCGGTTAAAAAAAAAGTTCTATTTTACGAGTGCATCCGTATAACCCAGGCTGGACTGTATTCATTTCGTTCTTCTGATTTTAAAACCGGCCCAGTGCCTAACAGATGGGGCTTTAGGGTCATCCAGAGCCTCTGGGGGTGAAGCAGGAGCGGGTGTTCGGGTCCCCTAACCGGCCTCTGTCTCCGCAGGTCCCGCAGCGGATGGCGGCGGCCCTGGGCATCCCCGAGGACAGCGGCGGCGGCGGCTCCCCGGGCGTGTGGGGCGCCTGGGGGCCCTGGTCCGCCTGCTCGCGCAGCTGCAGCGGCGGCGTGATGGAGCAGACGCGGCCCTGCTTGCCCAGCTCGTACCGCGCGCGGGGGGCCCTGCGGCCCGGAGCGCCCCCGCGCGCCTTCGCGGGCCACGTGGTGTCGGCGGTGCGCACGTCGGTGCCGCTGCACCGGAGCCGCGAGCGCCAGGAGCTGCGCGCCCCGGTCGGCCCCGAGGCCAGCCGCCAGGGCCCGGGGTCGCGGGGCAGCCGGCACCCGCAGGCGCGGGCCCGCGACCCCACAGCGGAAAGAAGGTACACGCACCCGCCCGCCACCTACCCTGCCCGTGTCCCTGACCTTGTCCCCCGCCCTGCGCCCTCCCGGAGGTCCCGCGCTCTGAGTCCCGGCCTGCGCGGGGAATGCTCGGCAGCTTCGGCGGCTGGGGAGGAATTCTTGGCTCGGTGTATTTCCTTTCATCTTTTGATGTGTTTTGCAGGCCTTTAAGCGTTGAGGCCACTCCCACCCCACTCTGTGGTTCTGAATAGTCTTCAAAGTGAAGCTAATTCTGAGAAGGCCCTTAGGCATCAACCTTAGGGAGGCCCTGTGGGGAGGGGTGAAAGAAGGCGGGCAGTGGGGAGCCCTCCGGGCCATTGCGCCCTGGGTGCCCAGGGAAGGGAGGTCGGATGCTGGACGAGGGGCCTTCCCATGCCGGGGCTGATGCGAGTTTCCAATCTTTCCGCAAACTGAACGTCCGTGGAGTCACACGTGCTCCCAGACCGTTGGTTTCAGAAGTCTATGCATTTTCCAGAAAGTTTTCCCGGAGAGTTTTGAGTGAACACGCTGCTTTGAGGATATGTCCAATTAAGGACCTAACACTTTTGTAGAGTCTGCATAGGGTGTGTTGCATAGCAGCGTTCAAACAGTTGTAAGCTGTAAAACGCCTCCCATGGTAGGCCCGCATGAATACGACCAAGGAGGCAGTGTCCGTGGGAAAGGTAGCTGTGTCAATGAATCAGTCAACCCATCTTTACAGATGAGTCAGCATTCATTCAAAAGCATTTGTTGAATGCTCCTAGGTCCACGATAGATTCTGAGAGCTTATTAATACAAAAACAGAAACAACAACAAACGAAAATTTACGGGGAGAACGGGATATCGGCGGTGACCACTCTTTCGTACTGCGGCTAGATGCTTCTCGAAGGTCTGTCTCAGCCCAGTGCTGTAGGCCGTCAGTGCATCCACCCGGAGGTGTAAGGAAGTTACAACCCAACCACCCTCCCTGGTCCCTTGATATGCTCAGTAGGAGTTTAGAGAGGACCATTTCACAGGGAGGGTGCTTCAGCCGAATTCTGAAGGATAAACCGAATTTGGGTGGAAAGAAGAGGGGAAGAGCTGTGAGTTCTGAGGCCTGGCAGGGTCTGGCAGGGGGAGGGGAAGAGAAATCCACTGGGAGGATGCCTCCTTCCTTTTATCTGAGCACAACCCATAAGAGGATAGCTCCCCATTCCCTTATCTTAGGTCCTTATGACCAATGCATTTTAGAATCCAGAACTTCTCAGATTCTCTAAAAATAATTCAGCGCTTATTTCACATGTTAATGGCCTCCATTCTGTGGTATGGGGCAGAGTCCCATAATCGATTGTATTACTTCTGCCGTGAAACATTTGAAAGTTCATATTAAGTAGGATAAAAAAAGATCCTAATAGTCTTGTGTCCCTTTAGGCCGGGTGTGCAGCCCAATGAATTTTGACACCAAACCAACAGGAACATAAGGAGAAAAGAAAAGAAAAAGCCTTGGTTTTCAAAATTCTCGGTTTGAGATTTGCAGGTTTATAATAACTAAAGTTTATCGAATGCCTGTTCTATACCAGGCACTGTTCTTATCCCTCGACACTGACGACCGTATGAAATAATGCTAGCATCATCCTCAGTTTAGAGGTGCAGAAGAGGAGGCCCAGAGAAGTGGAGAAACTTGCCAAAAGCAACCCAGCCAGTGTGTAAAGAGGTGGGATTCAAACCCAGGCAGTCGCGGCGCTAAGGACCCGATCAGGTAGCTGTTACACACAAGGAATCCGAGGGCCTACGAGATGAAAGGCTCCCAGAGCCCTAGAGCCCTGGAAAAGCTAAGAGTTGAAGGTGCTCCGGCTCCCGTATCCCTGGAGTGCTCACGGCCTTCTCTTACAGCCGCTGTGGTTGAGAACCTAGAAGAGCTGCCCAGGGAACCGGCTCTCACTGGCCCAGGCCTGTACTGCAGGCATTCTGGCCCATGTGCTTTGGCAGCGGGAAATTTTTTTCTCCTAACATGTTGACAGGGGGCCAGTTACTGTTTACTATGAAGTTCCTACAAGTTTTTATCATACTCTCGTAATTTGACAGCTTCAGAGGGAGCAGTCCAAACATGAGGCCGGGAGGCCTGAGCTGCCGACAACTGCCACACTCTTCCCGGCTGACGAAGATCACATTTGCTTATATTTATCTGTCATTAGGAGCTTGCATAGTATATGTGACCCCAGAAGAAATGTCAGTGTGTTCGCTGGATGGCTGTCTGCCCCAGTTTCTGTTTCAGGTTTGAGGTTTGAAGCAAAGGCTGTTAAGGCTGAGATGTTTAAGAAAACCGTTAGGTTGTTATGCTAGGCAACCGAAAACTTAATTGGAGCCAGATAACAAATAAAACAGAACTGTTCAACCTTCCAACAAATATTTATTAAGAATTTACTATGTTGTAAGGTCCTGGGACAGACACAAAGGTGAATGAAAGCCGGGTCGGGGGCTGAAAGCTCTTACTCACAGGCTAGACCAACTGTTTGCAAACTCACTTTTTTTTTTTTTTTTTAATTCTTTTAGCATAAGAGTCCTTTCTGTTAAATCAGCATCAGATTGGGACTCTGTTTGTCTCAGAGGACATGTATATGGACTAGTGATGTTCAGCCTTGGCCGACCGACCCTTAGAATCTTCTGTCCACCTTTGAAAAATCTCAATACCCCAGTCACATCCCAAAACAACATCTGGATCTCTGGAGGTTGCAGCCGAGGTTGGAAACCAGGTGTTTGGAAGTATCTCTTAAGGTTCTATGGGGGAAAAATTTGGAAATTGAATATTCTCTAGCCGAGTTTTCCAGGCTCAGGGAGCACATGTTCAGAATCACTTGTAGTGGACCTGGAAGGCTTGTTCAAAGTGGAGCTGCCCAGGCCCCAGCGTCTCCCGTGCCTAATGGGGGTTCTGTTTTGTAGGCTTGGGGTGTGCCCTAGGTAGCTTCGTATTAGGCGATTCTGACATACTCCAGAGTTGGAGAACCACTGATCTAGAAGGTTAGAAAAGACGTGTGTAAACGCCTTCCCTATAAGACAGTGTGATGAATGGTAATGATGCTGGTTGCCATTTTGGATCACGGCCTATGGGCAGACCATGCATCAGGTGCATTGTCACATTTATAGTTCATACAACCCAGTGAGGCAAGTGCATATATTCACATTTTACAGATGAGGAAACTGAGGCTGGGAGGAAAGGAGCCACTTGCTCAGAATGCCCTGCCTCAGGAGAGACAGAACCGGAATTCTAAGTAGGTCTGTTGGAGTCTAGCACTCAAATCCTTTTCACCCAAATGGCGATTTTGAAAGTGAGGCTGCTCGCTTTCAGCCGGTGTGGTCAGAGAAGCTGCTGGCAGGTTAGACGGTTCGAGCCACGTCTTGAAAAGTGGGTGCGATTTGGGAGTCAAGGCTTAAAATGAACTGCGACTCTTCCTTGCAAGGCTCAGCTCTTGTAGCCAGGGAAATCTTTGCAGCAGAGGGTTCAAAAATGGGCAACCGCAGCCCTTGTCCTTGGGGGGCCTGACATGTAGTGGTGGGTGAGTGGCAAACTCACAAAATGCGGAACGTGGGAAATCCTTGAGGGATGGAGCAGTCAAGGCAGACCGCACAGAGAAGGTAGGATTTGAACCCAGCCTTGACAGATAAGTAAAATGTGCTTAGCTGGCATATATTTAGGAATGTCTTGAGTCCACTTGCTTCCATATCAGACTTTGTCTCATTAAAGCATATATATACGCAATGCAGATCACACTCTAAAAGCCTTAGAAATCATGTCAGTATGGGGGCACGAGGGGGGCTCGTCAGTTAAGTGCCTGATTCTTGGTCTCCGCTCAGGTGGTGGTCTCAGGGTCACGAGATCGTTTGCTTGAGATTCTTTCCCCCTCCTTCTCTCTCCCCCTCTGCTCCTCCTCCTGCTCATGTTCTCTCTCTCAAACAAACACAAATTTAAAGAAGATTTTACTTATTTATTTGAGAGAGTTGATGAGTGAGAGAGAGAGGGCAGGAGTGTGGGTAGAGGCAGAGAGCGAGGGAGAAGCAGACTCCCCACTGAGTGGGTAGCCCGATGCGGGGCTCAGTGGCAGGACCTCAGGATCATGACCTGAGCCCAAGACAGACGCTTAACTGCCTGAGCCATCCGGTTGCCCCAATAAATAAAATCTTAAAAAGAAAAAAAAAAAATCATGTCAGTGTTTATTAGAAGTTCTCCAAGGATCTGAGCTTAGGAAAGCTGGTTAATTTTTCTGATCCTCAGGATCTTTATCTTTCAAATGATAGTAATAACAATGCCCAGCAGCTGGGATTGTTGGGTGATTCAATGAAATGATGTGATCCTACTTCCTGTCCTGCAGCAGGTGCTCAGGAAGTTGCAGCTATACCTCCCTTTAGAGCTTTAAAGGCTGGGTGTTCATGTGTTAGAGTTCCAGTTAGAATTCTGGTTCCTGGGCGCCTGGGTGGCTCAGTGGGTTAAGCCTCTGCCTTCGGCTCAGGTCATGAACTCAGGGTTCTGGGATCGAGCCCCACATCGGGCTCTCTGCTCCGCAGGGAGCCTGCTTCTTCCTCTCTCTCTCTGCCTGCCTCTCTGCCTACTTGTGATCTCTGTCTGTCAAATAAATAAATAAAATCTTAAAAAAAAAAAAAAAAGAATTCTAGTTCCTCAGGAAGGATCAGGTGGAGGGCCGGGGCCACAGAGGAAGACAGGGAGACAGGAAATGAGGTCTGTTCCAGGAGGTCAGGACTCTGGGCCACACAGCCCGGGTGCAGCCAGGATCCCAGGGCCAGGGCACCCTGCCCTGTGCCCTCTCTTGGCGTGACCTGCTCAGAAAAGCCTGCCACAAAGGGTGGCCTTTCCCTGGGATTTAGTCAGGGCACTGACACCTGTGGGGGCTCTGGACTGGGGGAGTTCAGCCTGCAGGTCTTGGCCAACAGACTCCGTAATGGTACTCCCCATGTCCACCCTCTCTCCACACCTAAGGTGACGTCCTGGTGGTGGCTGAAGGGGGAGGGG